CAAAGACATTTGCACATAGTACTCATGCGGGGCACTGAGCAGTGTAGGCCAAGTACCAGCAAGATCACCCTGAGGTCCTCAGAACAACACATTCTCCATATGAGCAAAACAATCCAGGAGCACAAGTAGAAAGGCCATCACTTTCGTGAAAGGTGGCGGGAGTTGACAACAGATGACTGCTTCTTAAATGGACTGTTCTATGTTGCCTGCTCCAGAGTGAGCTCATCAAGCAGCCTGGTGATCCCAGCACCTGAGAGCAGAACCACCCATGTGGTCTACAGAGAGGTCCTTCTGTAGAGAGAAGAAAAAGTACATATGTCTCACTTCATTTTTTACACTACAGTCTTCTCCACTAGAATTCCTACAACAAATGTCACATTTCAAACTTCACATCATCGGTATTATAACTGGATTTATGGAACTTAAGTACCGTAGCGAAGCATGGGTATCAGGCTAGTATATATATATATATATATATATATATATAGGAAGCGGATGAAATATAGGATAGTGCCACCTCATGTTCTACTATTATATCACTGAACTGCTTATACTACTCCCGCAAACAGGCAGAGGGCAAAAATGGGGGAGGGAAACACTTCTACTTTAGTGTTTTGAAATCAGATAAGAACTAAGAAGCGCCGCAAAACAAGTTTTGAGAAATGCAGGGCAAGAATGTGCCAAAAGCAGTCTGATTTAGGGCTGCCAAGTCCCCCCGGGGCGCGGGGATTCCCCCACTAAAAGGGTCCCCAATTCGCTGGTCCAGATCCGGCCGGCGGGGGGAACCCCACCCCTGAAGTAGCCAGATCAGGCCGACGTGCCCGGCGTGATGATGTAGCCTGGAAGTGATGTCATCACGCTGGGCACGTCACCGGGCGAAGCTCTAGCAACCACCCTGAAAACTCTATGGTCCTCTTACTGGTTGAACATCTGCCCGGTTTTTGAGAGTTCTCTAAAGGAATATCCTGGTATACATTGGTGGAGATCCCAAATTACCTGCCTCTTGCTTGTCTCCTTTAAGCTAATCTTCCCCAATTAAATTAGGGGACTGACTATTTTGGGTAACAATTCCATATTTTTTGGGATGGCAGTAAATTAGCAAAGTTTTATGTCTGACCCAGCATAGTTGCATTTTTGGATGGATTTTCAGGTTCTTTTCTTGGCAACTATGTAGAACTTGCAGGGTTTCATCTTGGGTCCTTCCTTATCTTTGTGCCCATCAGGACCCAAGCCACAGACTTAAATTTTCTAAGTAATATTAAGGTTAAAGAGAGGCAACAGTTCTCATGCTTTCCCCACACCTTTAACTTGAATTTACATCTTTTTTAAAAAGCACAATTTCAGAGTTTGTAGAGAAGAAAAGGAGATGAGAATTACTAAAAGAAGGAACCAGCTTATTGTGTGAAATCATATGTTTGGTGCTCTGCTGTCAGCCAAAAAAAAAAAAAAGCCTTATCAGCACAACCACTTGTGTGTGTTTTTCTCAAATGGTGACCGAAAGCAGATTAATGGCATTTAAACAAAGAATAGTTCAGAACTGAAACCTCCAAATAGGCCCCAATGATTCTTGCACTCTGCTGAAAGTCATGAACTTAAATTATTCTTAATAGTAATTATTATGATTTCTCTGCAGCTGTGTGCTGGGTGTTTTCAGGAATATAGTAATTTAAAAACATATTTCCACAAGCAAAGGGTATGGGATGTATTGTGGTTTTGATATTCAGCCGTTTAACTGTACTCAGCACCCTACCTATGGAATATTATTTACTTTACTGAACTTTAATCACCATCAGAGACTGTTTTAGTTATTTATTGAATTGTCAGAATTGTTTTAACTTTTTTTTTACCTGTTGTTCACCACCCTGAGCTCTGTATACTCAGAGAAGGGGGCGGTCTATAAATTTAAATTATAAACAAATAAATTTATGCCTTCCCTATCTCTCCAAAGTAGCTTATATCACTCCCCTCTCCTCTAGTTTATCTTCAGCCGCCTCGCTTCCGGCCCTCATTCAGCCAGGAGGAGGCAGGAGAAGAGGGAGGGTAAGTTGCTTCCTCCCCGCCTCTCCCCACCCCTGCCTGCCTGGGGCCAGGGAGGGCCTTGGCGGGGCTTCCTCGCACTCCCGCTGGCCTTGCAGGTCCACCGCCGGGCCCCTGATGTCAGGGGTTGTGGCATATGCGATTGAGTTATGCTAATGAGTTCCCCTAGCTCTTTTTCTACGAAATGACCCCTGCTCACAACAGCCCTGCAGGGTAGATTATGATGCGACAGTGTGACTGTCCCAAGAGCAGGGGGAACAGCAGATGTAAATTCCTAGCATTCTCCAACTTTGGAGATAATTCTGAACATTATGTAGTGAATCAGACCTTGCCCTGGGTCTGATCTCACAAATCAGTTCACTATGGCAAAGATCCGTGACACAGCATGTGAAGTCATAATGAAAAACAAGGTGCACTTGGGCATATATGACAACCTTTCTCTTATCACTGAGGACCAATGGCCAATCACCCCCACCCCCATGGGTTTTTAACTTCTGACTTTGTTTAAAGAGAGAGGTGCCCCAGCTGAAGTAACAACTAGTCAACTGATACATACTGAGGGAAATTTCCTCTGTACATTCTTGGGAAGGTCTGCTGGAGGCCTTGAGAAGTGTGCTTCTAGTTGGGGCCAAAACAGACACATGTAACTCTTCCCTTTCCCATTCTAAAATTACCCCCATCCCACTGCTATTTTAAACCCACAGAGGAAAATGTGTACCTGTATTTTCCCCCCCTCTAGCAACAGTGATACTGTAGCATCTTTGGAATGGGGTGTGTGTGAAAGAATCATAGCAGAGAAATGGTGCAGGACAAAAAGGGTTAAGAGACCCTTATGCAGCACTCTGATCAAAGGGTTGTGTTTGTTCCTGCCTGTCAGAAGTACACATTAGTGGACTAGATGCGTTACTAGTCCAGTATGACGCAAAAAAGGGGGGGGAGAAAAAGGAGGACTGGTATGCTCACAAAGTCACAAAAGAGAAAATGGAGAGGAAAACCAGGATGCCTACAATACAAGAGACATATGAAAATATGACATCTGAAACAAGGCACATATGCAAATAGCAAGCCAAAAGCTATCAGAAGTGCTAGGCTTCCTCTTCTTCTCCAGTTTGTTATGACAAATGCTACAATTATTCTGTTTACTACTGACAAAAACCTAGTTGGAAGATTCAGGGGGATGCTTTCTAAAAAATAACAAATAGCACACATACATTTGCTTTAATTTCGTCAGGTTTCTTCACCTTTCCGTTTCCCCCTGTAAATGAGAAGGGAACTTGACTGCAGACCTCCCTAGTCCAGTACTTTAACCACCACAGGGCACTTGAACTAGAGCTCAGTGATGTATTTGTTGGGTAGCATTTGACATTGCCTCTCATTCTTTGCCCCCAGTCATCCCATCTGGAATATGGTGTTAATAATACTGGACCTACCTTGGGGTGTTGTAAAGATTTCCAAGATTAGCCTAATTGCTGATTCACACTTTAAAAAGTCCTCATATCTGCCACCCAGCTGCCATAATGACTTTTGATAACAGGTGCTGTGGGAGTGCTGTGCTCAAAACTTGATTCCTAGGTGGAGGTGGAGGTGGGGGTAGACATTCATTGGGAAAGAAGCACACAGGCAGACAGGTCTTAAGCGTTCCTCCTGTACCGTTTTCCTGATCTGAAATGTCCCCAGGAGTCGGACCAATGTTCCCTCTAAGCTGTGGAGTCTTGTGAGCAAGAATTCTACTTTGTGAGCTACTGGCATTAAAGTTGCAAGCAAGCAATTTGGCTACTGCATAAATTAGTTTGCTCTGGAGCAATCCTTCCTGAGCTAAGATAAAAATGTGTGAGCCAGAGGCTAAAAAACTGTGAGCCAGCTCACACTAACTCGGCTTAGAGGGAACACTGCCCAGGACCCTCTGTTTTGCCCCATTAGAGAACGGTTGTTGTTGTTTTTAAAGAGAGTGGCAACAAAAACATTCTTTGGCACGTTATTTCTTTTCGGGAAAAGGTAAAAGTTGGATCTACATGGATCCTAATGAAGTCATATGATTTTTACATTGAAAACCTCCCCTCCCCTAACATTGCCCTTCCTAGGCTCTACCCCCAAATCTCCAGGAACTTCCCAAACAGGAGCTGGTAACCAAGATCCATCGTGAGAGTCAACAGAGCGATCCTATGCAAAGTTAATCTCAGTTGGCTTCGACTAAGGTAACTCTGTATTGGCTTGCACTGTTAGCAATTGATTGAGCGTTTCATTGCTTTTTGATTTGATTGGCATTAAAAGCCCGCAGTGGCCAGCAGCGCCCACTGCTTTAGAAGCCAAGGCAGGACCACAGGGCAGGCAGTTAACAAGGCATACGGCAGGTGGGAAGGGTCTTCTGAGCTGTACCGGGGAGGGGGGTTGCAAACAGCATCTCTATTTCTTTCCATCTGAACAAAATTTGAGCCCAGTGGCACCTTTCAGACCAGCAAAGGTTTATTCTGGGTTTAAGGTTGCACGCGAAAGCTTACACGGTTGCGCCCAGAAAAAAACTTTGTTGGTCTTAAAGGTGCCACTGGACTCAAACTTGGTTCTGCTGCTTCGGACCACCAACACACCCGCCTGAACCTATCTATTGCCATCTGTTGAAACTGCGGCGTACAATAAGGCCCCTTCCTATGTTAGAAACGGGCCTGAGAATTGCCTGCGGCGTGGCCCCTTGAGAGACGGAGCCGCTTCGAGGTGGGCAAGCGGCTCGTGTGAACAGAGAGCGACGGAAGCGAGAGGAAGGGCGGCGAGGCCGCTGCGGCTTAGGGCGCGCCGCGGAGGGAGCGAGCCCCAAAGGCGTGGCTGCCGTGCGCCCCTCCGGCCTGGCCCCGCAGAGAGCGGGAAGTCTTGGCGGCGGGAAGGGTCGGCCCTGATGTGGGGCCAGCCGCAGGGCTCCAGCTCGTAGCGGCGCGGGAGCCACCATGAGCCTGCCGCCGTCCCGACGGCGCTCTCCTTTTCTGTTTCCAACTTTTCTGCTGCTCTTGCTGGCGCCCCCTTTACCCTCCCGCGCTCCAGAGGAAAAGAAGACGCGGGGTAAGCGCCAAGATATTTCTTTTATTGGTTTTTTTAAACCGCCCTAGCCTATGAAATAAGGCGGTGTATATCAGAGGTCACCTCGCAGCAAGGAAGAGGTTGGCGCCGCTTTAGGAGCCTCTGGTCGTGGCTGGGGCTCGATCCCGCAATGATCAATCTCTTGGATTGTTGTTGCCTTGGGGAAAAATCCATTTGGGAATGATTTCCTTGAGCGCAGGGTGCAGGAACGTGTGGATGCGGTCACGGTTGGACGTTGGTTGCTGTGTAGTTGCCTTGCGGTAAACATCTGCGAATAGATTTTCCTGTATGGAAAAGAAAGGCTAGCAGGTGGAATGACTGCTATAGTGAGAGGCCGATACCATGTCCAACATTCAGTCCCGGTAACTGTTTAATGCCAGCATTTAGTCCTGAAGCGGGTGAGATATAATAATGTTATTGTAATATTATAATGAAGGTGAACTATTAGACAGTGTCTCTGGGCCCGTGATATCAGCATGCATATAACCACTGTGTACACCCAACCCACAGCATGGTATCATGGGAGGGAAGGACCCTTGTGGTACCTTAAAGATGAACCAATGTAAGGAGCCCTAGGACTGTGTCATTTTGGCTACCCCTCTGTAATGGGAGGGAAGGAAACTCCGGGCCACTTGCGAGCTTGAAGCCTAACCTTCCTCATGGGTTGTTGTGGGGGTGCACCAGAGAAGTCCTTGGGAAAAGAGGTGGTAACGTAAAGGCATTTTCTCCTTACAACAACCCTTTGAGGTAGGCTAGGTTGACAGGGGATGACTGACCATCCAGTAAGTTTTGTGGCTAGTGGACATTTAAACCTGGGTCTCCTCATTCTAAATCCACTACCCCACGCGGGCTCGATTTTATTATTTCTATAGCATAGCTGCCGTTGAAGGTCAGATCCACAACAACTCCTCCCTGCAGCTTTACAACTCAAAAATATTCTTCAGCAGTTTTAAGGCAGCCAAGTGGGGTGGGGGCAGATTTGTTTACTTTTCTGGGTTTCTAGCTTTTGCTCTTTTGTAATGTTGGTTTTTATTTTGTGATATATTGTTCTGAGTTAAGGCATGGTAAGAAGTAACCAAGCTATGTTGTATGGTCTTGGACATGTGCCTTACCAGATCTGTTATACAACCATTTGGTAATATAGATTTCTCCTTTCCTTTTCCTGTTTTCTCTGTTCTAGTCTATTTCTCAATATAATTCTGCAGTTTTCCACAAGAAGTGAAGAAAGAAAAAGCCCGGGGGGGGGGGAGGATGCAAACAATATGTAATTAAACCAGATACATGCTGTGCATAACAACGTACATGGAGGCAAAAAGCATAAGCTATAACATTCATAGAAGCAATGAGCTAGAGTTCCTGCAGTTTACAAATTGAGACAAAGTAGAACAGTAAACATAGCTGCTGCAATTTACAAATTGGTGTGCATCAACTGGGGTCTCCTGGGAACATCTCCATAAGTTAAGGCCTCTTAGCTAAACAACACTCGGCTGTTTTAATGCCTGAAAGTTCTGTTAATCATAAAATCCAAGCAATTTGGCATTGAGAATCTGCATGCCAAAGGAGTGTAATTTGGCCTGTTTCATGAGGGGGGGGGAAATGTAAAAAAAAACCAGGTGCAAAAATATTTATTTAGTACTTGTGGATCCCTATGCGTTTCCCAGTTCACTTTGTCAGGGGATCGTTTCAGAAGTCATCTTATTGAATAACTTTGGAAATGATACCGTGATGAAGCAAACTGCAAAACGCGTAGGGATCCACACGTACTAAATAATTTTTTTTTTACCTTCCACCTGTTTTTTTTAACATTTTTTTCTACCTACTGATGTGGCCATTCTTGTTTTCTGCAGGAGAGGGACACAATTTGGTGTAGTGGTTAAGTGCAAGGACTCTAATCTGGGAGAACTGGGTTTGATTCCCCACTCTTCCACTCGCACCTGCTGGATGACCTTGGGCAAGCCATAGTTCTGTCAGAGGTGTTCTTGAAAAGAGCAGTTTCTGTCAGAGCTCTCTCAGCCCCACCTACCTCACAGGGTGTCTGTTGGGAGGGGAAGGGAAAGGAGTTTGTAAGCCACTCTGAGACTCTGAGTGAAGGGCAGGGTGTAAATCCAATCTCTTCTTCTCTTCTTCTTCTTCTTAAATGGCTGAATCAGAGAAAAAATGCCTTGATATTGCAGCGTCATACCTTTGTAACTTGTCCTTTTAGGACATGCAGATATTTACCATATCATATTTTTGTTAAAAACTTTATGTCAGAAATTCAGAAATTTCCAGAGGCTATATTCATGATCTGGTATCTGATGAAGTGTGCATGCACACGGAAGCTTCTACCCAGAATTAAACTTCGTTGGTCTTAAAGGTGCCACTGGACTCAAACTTAGTTCTCTTGCTTCAGACCAACATGGCTACCTTACCTGAATCTATATTCATGATCATTTGTTGACAATCTGCTGCCTATTAACAAAATTATGACACCTCAGAGTTCCCAAATGTCATTTTGTTTTAAAATACTTGCAAGTTATATGGGCATGCATGATTAATAAATATGTCAATGGCTATAGCCTGCCTAATTCAGACTTTTGCTAAATGTGTATTTAGCAAATACTTGGGGAAGCTGCATCTTAGAATTTCTGCCTGGATATTTGCAAATCACAACAGTTGTTGCTGTGGTGAGGGAACATGCTGCCTTTTATTTGTGTATTGTACAAAAATTCAGCAGATGCCTATGTTGCAAATATTTGAGAAAGCTGTACCTGTCAAAGTTCTGCCTGGGTACATGCTCTGAGCTCACTGTCAAAAAAGATCAAAACAAAATGTGGGTACATGGAGCCCAACCTGTAACTTAGTATGTCAGATTTCTAGATTTATAGAATGGATTTTAAGACATGCCTTAATTTAGAATCTCTGCTCTTCTCTGTTACTTCTTTATACAGCAAGCGATTAAAATGTGGAGTTAGCTGCCAGAGAATGTAGTGATGGCCACAGGCATAGACAGCTTTAAAAGGGGATTAGGTAGATTAATGGAAGATAGGTCTAAGAGTGGCTAATAGCCATGGTGAGGGAAGGGAACCTCCACATTCAGAGGCAGTCAACCTCTGAATCTCAGTGCCAGAAGGCAGCATCAGGGGAAGGTAGTGATTAGGTACTGTGTGAGACGTGGACTAGATGGACCCCTGGTCTGATTCAGGAGGGCTCTTATGTTCTTAAGTGAAATTGTTTGGGCCTTAACTCTTCTCCTTAAACTAAAGAATTCTTTGTTCTGTTTCAGTATACAGACATCTCTCCTTCAAACATTCAAAAATATATTGCTAACTTCCTCACATCTCAGAAGGTCACATATAATTTAATTTTTTAATTTATTAGGCCACATATGCATAGTCAAATTTAAACACTTTTTTGAAGTCCCGGATACTTTTCTTAAGTCAAGATCTCCTTTTAAGCATCCTGAAACTTACCCAGGATTTAGTAATACTTGTTCATGCTGTTCCTGTAAGCTTGGTAGTATTATTATTTTTCAGCAGACAGGGGTCCTATGTCTTTAAATGTTGCACAAATAGACAGAAGTACTGCAGGTGCAGCCTCTTCTGGCTCGGAGACGTCGTGGGGCTCTTTCTGAATTTTGGTTAGCCATGCAGTTGTTCATGTCTCAGGATCTACAAATGTAGAAAAATATTTCTCTGCTTTGCAGAATCAATTGTGCTTTGCTTTGTTCTTTCCACATAACAGCTGGCTTTGCAGTCAGCAGTTCCCCTGATAATAGTCCACATTTGGCACTTTGGGAGCCATAGCTTCATTAGTCAAAATGTGCACTTTCACTATATTGCATAGAATACCTTTCACCTCAGATAAACTAATAATAATCTGCATTTTCTTAAAGATGTAATTGAGCATTTCTTGGTGTTTAAACCCCCCCCCCAATTCCTCTCTAGAGGCAAGTGTCCACTGTGTTTTAAAATCCAAGGTTTTGTTCTTAGTTATTACAAGCAAGGGGACTGTAAGGACTTCTGGAGGAGGGTATCTCATTTTCCTTTTCCCCTTTCCCGTAAACCACTATAGCCTGTCCCCCATTCCTTCTTCCTTCTCTCCTTCCTTCCCACCAGCCTACCAACCTTGATCTTCCCCGTCTTCAGCTTATTCTCCTTCCCTCCCTGGCAGCCTTTCCACAGTAAAGTTTGGCCTAATTGCGCGATGCCAGGCACTAGACTGGGTCGAGTTGTGTGGTGCCGGCCAGGCTGGGCCCAGTTGCATGGTGGAGAACCTGCAAGGACTAGCAAGGGACACTTTGCTTTCCCCTCTATCCTCCTTCTCATGTTATTTTATCTTTTTCTTGTCTTGGAAGCCCCTATATTCTCAGCTTTCCCTGTTTCCTTCCTGAGACATGCAATCAAGTGGTGTCAAGGCACTGAGTGTGTGTGCACACGGAAGCTTACACCCAGGATAAAACTTTGTTGGTCTTAAACGTGCCACTGGACACAAACTTTGTTCCGTTGCTTCAGACCAACACGACCAATGTCTGTCAGCTTTGACAGAAGGGAGAGGGATGAAGAGGCCCAGTCATTTCTCCAGTCCACCTTCCCCACTGCAATGTGGTCCCCAAATGCTGGACATTAGTTTTCACCATAGGAATGAATGCTGGGACTGCATTCGCTCAAGAACAGCATTAGAAGAAGAAGAAGAAGAAATTGGATTTATACCCCGCCCTTCACTTGGAGTCTCAGAGCGGCTTACAAACTCCTTTCCCTTCCCCTCCCCACAACAGACACCCTGTGAGGTGGGTGGGACTGAGAGAACTCTGACACAAACTGCTCTTTTTCAAGGACAGCTGTGCCAGAGCTTGTGACTGACCCAAGGTCACATCAGCAGGTGCAAGCGGAGGAGTGGGGACTCAAACCCGGTTCTCCCAGATTAGAGTCCGCGCACTTAACCACTACACCAAACTGGCTATAGTGCTTACAAAAATTCAAAGCAAACAAGTACAGCCCTAATGTTTATTTTTCTGTGAGAAAACTTGGGCTTGTGGTAAAATGGGAAGGAATTTGATAAGGTCATATCTCATTTTTACTGTGACAGTGAAAAGCATCAGTAAATGACAGAGAGATAAAAATAAACGGTTTTGTCTTCTGTGACAGCAAACCACAGAACAGACCTATTTTTTTACCAGTGAAATGAGGGGACAGCCTCTGTAAGTTTCTTTTGCACAAATTGTATGGAAATGAATGGGTCTGGTTCTCTTTTTGTATAGATGCCACTCATTATGTCTGTGACTTCCTGAAAGTGGAAAGCAATCATGTCCAGGAAAGTTTATCTAAGACTTTTGCCTTCTGTGCGGATGTTCCATTTGCAGGAAGTGTGTGTGTGTATATTTAAGCCTTAAAGGTAAAGGTTCCCTTGCTCGAAAGCTTGCTCGATTCCTACTCTAGGGTTGCGGTGCTCATCTCCGTTTCAAAGCTGAAGAGCCAGCGCTGTCCGACGCCATTTCCGTGGTCATGTGGCTGGCATTAAACACCAAGGCGCACGGAACGCTGTTACCTTCCTACTGAAGTGGTACCTATTTATCTACTTGCAATTTCTTGCTTTCGAACTGCTAGGTTGACAGTAGCTGGAACTAGAGATGGGAGCTCACTCCGTCATGTGGCACACTCGGGTCTCAAGCTGCTGAACTACCGACCTTCCACAGCCTGCAGTTCAGCGTCTTAACCACTTGAGCCACCGCAGCTCCTTTATTTACCTTTATTTAAGCATAGAAGAGCATTAAAACTTACATAAAACTGGAAAAGGTACACTGGCTCCAGGCTAAAATATTACTCTTTATCCAGGCTTTTAGTTGAAGTGTTCCATCTTTTTAAGTGGTTTTCATTTTGTGCTTCTAGCTTGAGAGCTCTTCTGTAGATATTTTTACGCTGTTTAATGTTGTGTTTCTGGCTTATTTTATTTTAATGTTGATAATTTTTATGTTTTTATGATTTTATTGTTGGTTTTACTTTGTCAGTCTCCTTGAGCAGATATCTGAAGAGAGGGCATATACATTTTATAAATAATTGCATACAAGATATTGTATCAATTGGTTTTATTCAGCAAAGACTGGGCTTTGCAAATCTACACAAAATAAATGTGCTAGCTCACCTGTTCACAAGGGCCCATTTGTCACAAAGCTACAACCTGGAAGAAGAAGAAAAAAATCCCACTTTCTATTCATTTTACAAAGCAAAACCTAACTTCCCTATCTGCTTTGCCTTATAGGCTGTTCTCATTCGCTGTAAGTAGGCAATTGGCTGTATAAGCCTGGACTGTCCAGTGATTTTTTTTTTGCCCCCTGGAGGGGATTTTTATTGCTTTTTCTATAAACTAGAAACTACAATGAAAAAATAGGAAGGGAATATCTACATCTAAGGAGAAAGGAAAGAAAACCACTAATAACTAAAACCCCAAGTATAGGAGATCATTACATCAGCTTATATAAGTGTTAGTCTAAAATGCTTACATTACATTGAACATAGTCGATGAAGCTAAATTATTTATCTTTTTAACCATTTTTAACTGTTTAAAGACAACCCCAAGAGCATCATTTATATCACATGCTTTAAGGCACCATTCAGAGTCCTTCAGCCTTCACTTTGCTTTATCTTTTCTAATCCTCAATTGGTATTCTCGTTTAGGGGCAGCCGCCCCCTTTTCTGAAGCAGAATCCTTGTCGGAAGGTACAGAGTCCAGTTCACTGCTAGATTTGCTGTCATCTTCTTCTTTAGCGTCCTCAGCTGGTTCTCTCAGTTGCAGTCTCAGGAACTCACGTGCTTTGGAAACAGAATCAATTTTTTCTTTTTTGTCCTGCAGTTTGAAAATGACGACTTCAGGGGTTAACCATCTGTAGGAAAAGCTGTTTGTTTGTAAAAAAAAGGATTAAGTCTTTATACTTCTTCATCTTCTTCCTTATTTCAAATGGGATGTCTTTTAAAATCCTGATGGTGTTGCCTCCGATTTTCAGGGGTGTTCCTGTAGTTGCTTTCAGTATAGAATCCCTCATGTGTCTCTTCAAGAATCTAACCACTATCTCCCCAGGCAGAATATTTTTCTTGATGTAAACTGAATAGGCTCTATAGACCACATCCATTTTGCTTATAAGGTATTCCGCTTTTAAATCTGTAACTGGAGCTAATGCATCGCTCAAAAGTTGTTTTAGATTCTCATCTTTTACTTCAAGGACCCCTTGGAACCGGAGGACCAGGTTAGCTTTCTCCATTTGCAGTTGTAAAAGTTGAGATTCATCCGAAGCGTGCTTCCTTTCCAGCATTTGCACCTTTTTCTTGGCTTTTTTAGAGTTGGCATCTATTTTCTTTACTTTCTCAGCTGTTTGCTCCGTCTTTTTTGTAGTTTCAGACAGTTGGAGCTGCTGAGTTGCAAAGTTCTGATTTAGAGTTGTCAGCTGCTGATCGATGTTAGTCATCTGATCCAGTAGAGGGCGCAAAGAGTCCGCCAAAAGTTTAGAGAACTCAGTGGTCTCTTCCGGTCGTGGGCTCATGCTCCCTGGTGGTTTCACTTTTGCCTGTTTGTGTCTCTCCGCTTTCTTCCACGCCATTTTTATGGATTAGTTTCTTTGTCCAAACTTGCTAAAGTCTCTGAAAATCGCCCAATGCCTATCTGTGCTCTGGTAAGGTTCTTAAAACAGATTTCAACGCTTTTAATTCCATCCCCCCTTTGCTAAATCGCTTTTTAGTTCATGCGTATGGGAGGGGCCCCTCCCCAGCTCGCTTTTCTCGCCATTCTTGGGGGGGGGGGGACTTTCTTTTTAAGTTGCCGGGATTTCGCTTTCACTCGACTCACTGTTCATTGTTGGTCATAAGACCTCGCTCAAAATATGTTTTAAACGTTCGATCTCCGACGCTTGTCCTGGTCAGTGGCTCTAGTTCCATTCGGACGCATAGTGGCAGGGCCGTCGGGGCGGAAGAGTGCCTCAATTCCCCAGCATCGCGCTGGCGAAGAGGCTACCCTTCAAAAGCCCCATGGCTAGGAGCCTTTCATAAAGGCTTGGGGGGGCAAACAATCGCTCCCCCAACCGCTAGCACACAGATTGCACCGCCGGGAGGTGCGTCTGCCATCGTATTGCCATAAACCGGAAGTCCGACTGTCCATTGATATTTCCAGGGTCACGAACTTTGGTTTACTTTGCTGATTAGACTTTCCCCCCTCCAATCTGGATTTTTAAATGATGAGCCAAAGCTCCCTCCCATATATTAGGCAGTACATTTGTTCTTGAAATCAGGTTTTGGAATTAAAAGACCTACCTTAAATTAGGCTCAGCCCAGGCAGAAGTAAGTACTTAAATGCTGTTCATATTTTTTAAAGTTTTGTATTGATCATTTCAACAAATACAACAATAATACAATAATAGTAGAACTATGTGCTTAACACTGCCATCCTAACCAGAGTTAAACCTTTCTAAGCCTGTTGACTTCAGTGGTGTTTGAAGAGTATAGCTCTGTTCACGATTGCATTGTATTGTTCATGACCTATTAAAATTAACATGCTCCAAATATGCTTAACTTTGGCTGGATTGTACCCATCAAAATCGGAGTGCTTGCTGTCCAGTGCTAGCTGATTTCCAAACCTTAATGTGTAGTATTTTACACTGTATTGAACTGTATTTTTACAGGTGCCACCAGTGATTTCTTTCCCAGTGTATGTGAGTCTTGCCATGCCGATGCAACGTGTCAGCAACAAGATGGCAAACCTGCCTGCATCTGCAATTATGGATTTGTGGGTAATGGAAGGACCCATTGTCAAGGTTAGTGAAAATTTACAGGACAGTGTGTGCTTTATGACAGTTGACAAAGCTCTACAGATGAAAATAACACTGTAATCTGTGTCCCAAATGATACTGGATTTTATTATAACCGATACTCCCTCTAAGCTGTGGAGTCTTGTGAGCAAAAATTCTATGGTGTGAGCTACTGGCATTAAAGTTGTGAGCCAGCGATTTGGCTACTGCATAAATTTGTTTGCTCTGGAGCCACCCTTCCTGAGCTAAGTAAAAAATGAGTTAGCTCAGTTTAGAGGGAGCACTGATTATAACCGCTCACAGGCCTGATGCAAGTGTCATGTTTCCCAATATCTTAGTTACAGTTAAGAGATCAGGAATGAGCCACTGGCGTGAATGCTTGCTCAGTTCCTTCCTTGTTGCCAGATACACCACTGCGTGTGGAGACATGTTTAATTCCTCCATACCTTTGTTAGGCGGACAGCACAACCGTCTATCCTGACTCTCAGCTCCTTGTTCTGTTCTCTTCTAATCCCCACTTCCTGTCAGTGAAGGGGATAGAGCTTTACAAAGTAACTTCTAAGATGGCCAGCAGCAGGGCTTTTTTTTGTTTGTTTGAAAAAGAGGTGCCGGAACTCCCAGGAGGGAAATGAAGTTTTCAATCTGTATACTGAAAACGCGTGAATTTTTAAACATTTTCAAAAGAATTCTGTTGAAGAGGTTCCGAAACTCTGTTCTGGTGCATTCCCCCAGAAAAGAAAGCCTTGTATTTACTAGAACATGTATCTTCAAAGGACCCTTGGTAATAAGGCAGTTTTTGTGATAGGACAAAACCTGCCTCCCCACTCATGGCATAAGTTGGCTGGTCTTCAAAGACAGACATGTTATAGGCTCTCAGTGTACTCTTGTGAACTAAATAAATAATTCTGGCAATGAGCACACACCATCCGCTTACCTTAATTTATGCTTCCTTTTTGTGATATTTCATTGTGAGTAAGTGCTGGGGGGGGGGATCTGTTTTGTCAAGCATATGCAAAAAGCCAAGCATAAATCTCAGTCTCCTCTGGCCTTTGTAAATCCTTAAAGGTAAAGGTTCCCTTGCTCGAAAGCCAGTTGAGTCCGACTCTAGGGTTGCGTTGCTCATCTCCGTTTCAAAGCCGAAGAGCCAGCGCTGTCCGAAGACATTTCCGTGGTCATGTGGCCGGCATGACTAAACACCAAGGCACACGGAACGCTGTTACCTTCCCACCAAAGTGGTACCTATTTATCTACTTGCAATTTCTTGCTTTCGAACTGCTAGGTTGGCAGGAGCTGGAACTAGAGACGGGAGCTCACTCCATCATGCGGCCCCCGGGTCTCGAACTGCTGAACTACCGACCTTCCACAGCCTGCAGTTCAGCGTCTTAACCACTTGAGCCACCGCAGCTCCTTGTAAATCCTTAGACAGCTCCTATTGCTGCCCCCCCCTTTTTACTAAATTTGGGGGTGATATACAGGGGGTGGAAGACGTGTGATCTCTGTCTGCTTATCCTTCTCCTTCTCTCTTTCTCCCTTCGTTGGAACAGCAGCCTCATTCCAGTTGCATGCTTTTAAGTACTGTATTAGTCAAAATTAGGGCTGTCACCCAGCTGAAAAGATGTTCCTCAATTAATTGCACTAGTTGCTTGATTAGCAGTGCTGTCCTAAGCAGAGCCCCGCCCTTCTAAGTCCATTGAAGTCAATAGGCTACAGAAAGGTGTTTAGGATTGCATTGGCACTATAAGTGACTTAATCCATTTGTGTATGAAAAAATGGGTTGGATCTTATGATTGTGTTCTGCTTCAAAGGAAGAGGCATAGGCCATCAGTGGAAGGATCCCTGCACCTGAAAAGAGCTTAGCCATGGTAGACTTGAATCATAGGGCCAAAAGCAATGGTTCCAAAGAAAAAGACCTATTTTCTTTAGTGTTACATCAGCCATGTGTTGCAACAGGCACTAGTTTGGATCCAGAACTGCATTTCCACAGGCGCCAAGGATTCCCACCCTGGCAGCATAATGTCCCCCCTTGCCAAAGATGCTCCCCAAATTCTGGGTATAGCCACCATCTTAGAAGAGGCACTATGTCCTTCGTGAGAGAGGTGATGCCAGCCACCCATGATTTTATGAGTACATAAATTAAGATTATATATAAAATGTTAAATGGTCAAATTGGGGGCGCCATTTTAACTGGTCAGCTGTTCATTGATCGATTCATCCGGACTAGTTCTGTGCTGCCTCTTCAAAGTCCTGCTCTGAAGAATCCTGGACATTTCTAATTGACATTTAACTAATATAGATGTTGCAACCCTAGTCAGAATTCTCTTAATAATTGTAAGTCATGGTACCTGTTCTTTTTTGCTTTCCCCCCCTCTTTAACCCAAGTGATGTGTTTTCAATGTGTTCCCAGACAAAGATGAATGCCAGATTGGGAGCAGTGAGATTTGTGGAGAGCACGCGTCATGCCATAATACACATGGAAGTTTTTATTGCATTTGCCTTGAAGGCTTCAAAGCTTCCAATAACAACAGCATGTTTATCCCTAATGATGGCACACATTGTATAGGTAAGGCAAGCGATTAGAATATGTTTCTACTGTTTCCTTTGTCATTTCTGTTCCTTTTAAAAAAAGGAAATTTAGAGTACACACCTGGTTTGTTTTTCAACTGTCTCTTTATATTTTGTTCAACGTTAGTGATAATTGAGTTCAAAATATTCACGCCCTTTGGCCTGATTAAAACAACTTAAGAACATGTGGGCCATTCTGAGTGCAGACAGGCCCAACAGAAAAATAGGATTTGTGGTATTTTCCTCAGCTGCAGCGTAAGCCCAATTTCCCCACCAAAATGACAGATGTGCAATGCACTAACAAACTGGAATACTGCTTCAACTAGCAGTCTTGTTTCTCTTCCCAAGCTTGGTATGGGCTGACCATATTTAAAGAAAAAATAAACGTGCTTTATTAATGTAAAAAGGATTGTTATTTATGATTGTAAAATGTAAAAAAGAAAAGTGCAAAATGGATTGGTTGTGGTGGGTCCTTTCGTGATATCACAGGTAGCCAAAGAGTCATCGTTGTGCATAGCCAGCTTTTGCAAATGCAATAAAAACCATTTTACCTCAGCAGTCAGTCCTGGAGAACAGCAGTTTGGACTGAACACAGGAAGAGCATTTTCAGATTGTTCTGTCACTCTGGTACAAGTAACGTGTTCTGTCCTCTATTATGTGTCTGCTTTATGTATAGTGATTCTCCCACAAAGTATGTGTGTCTGTTCATCCGATTTATGTGAGAGAGACAATACCTTACCCAACTGGGACAGAGAGTCTGTGGCAGAGGTAGAATATGAAGCTAAGCATTTCCAACCCCAGTTTGACACCTTGGTCATGTGATGCCCTTCCACAGCTCCCTTCACTGGCTTGCCCTCTGCTTCCAAATCAAGCACAAATGCCTCTGTCCTTAATTTGAATGCTTTTCATGAAGTAGAAGAAGAGGAGTTGGTTTTCTCTGCCCTTAAGGAGTCTCAAAGTGGCTTACAATTGCCTTCCTTTCCTCTCCTCACAGCGGGCACCTTATGAGGTAGGTGGGGTGGAGAGATTTCTGAGAGGACTGTGACTGGCCCAACGTCACCCAGCAGGCTTCGTGTAGAGAATCAAACCCAGTTCTCCAGATTAGAATCCGCTGCTCTTAACCACTACACCATGCTCAATTTGTGCTACCTTGTCTTTCTGCCCTTATCTGTTGATGTGCCCCTGCATGTGAATTTCTTTCATCACCAGTTATCTAAAAGTTCCCTGCTCCCTTTCTCTTTCACCATCCACTTTTCCTGAAACACCTACCGTGTTTCCCCGAAAATAAGACACTGTCTTATATTTATTTTTTCTCAAGAAGACACACTAGGGCTTATACCACAAATGCATAGAAATCCTGCTAGGGCTTATTTTTGGGGTAGGTCTTATTTTCGGGGAAACAGGGTATGTGGTGCTATCTTTTTCTTTTAAAAAATCAGCTCTTCTGTGGAGCCTTTGGCTTTACCCCATAGTACTCACTTCCTGGTAGAAATTGACTGTGTCTGACTCTCAAAAGCTTATACCCTTAAACTCCTGTTGGTCTCGAAGGTGTTGTTGGACTCAAATCTAACAGTAGAAGTTAAGCAGCTGTAACTTCATTTGCTCCCTGACCTCTTATTTTGACCTCTCTCTCCCCTCCTTTGAGGTCTGCCTCACTGTCAAAATTTATATTATAATCTTCTGAGGACAGAGACCTTTCTATTTGGCATATGTCATTGCTGTAAGAAGTAATAATGGTAACCAACCAGGGCTCTATAACAAAAGGATAATCACAATTGTATTGGGCATTGCAGACAGTGACGAATGTGAAGCCTCGGACATCTGTGGCCTTGGAGGACTGTGTGTGAACTCTGAGGGAAGCTATAAGTGCAAGTGTGCTGAAGGATATAGGACAAAAAATGGAGCCGAAACATTCCATCCGCCTACAGATAGAATCTCATGTGAAGGTGAGAGATGGTGGCCTCGAATAAGTAGCTCTCTTGCCTTTTTACTAACAGAGCTATCAGAAGAGTGCTACAGGACTCCTCTGCCCATCTCTAAGTAATAAACTGACTCCTGGCTTCCAGTATTCTGGCTAATGAATTTAGCAAAGAGACTGGAATGATTCTGTTTCCTGATACAGCGATTTAAAACAAAGAATCTCAGAGTAGGCCTCAGGCCCTGGAGTCCTGCTTCTGGTCGGAGTACAATAACACTGGGCTAGATGGATTGTGAGATAGTGGTAGATGACCTGTAGAACAGGGTTTGGTGGCCAGTTCAGGCCTTGTTCTGGGGGGAAGACAGGTGCTGTGTCTGGGAGAGAGGGGCCATGGTTCATTTGCAGAGCAGGTGCTTAGTATGCACAGTTCCAGTATCTCAGCAGTTGTCACCAGGCCCTTGAGTGATGTCCTTGACAAAGGCTCCATTTCTGATCCAAGGAAATCAGTACCTCACCAAAGAGAAGTCTTTCTGTCATTCCTAAAATCCTGCTACTTGAAATGGCAAACTGTTGCACTTAATTGGAAGTCCACTTGTAAGGGAACTTCCTGCCATTTTAAGCTACAGGTTGGAGACCATCACAGATCCATTGGTGTGTTACAGTACAGCTGTAGCCTCCTGTTGGCTCCTTGCTGCGCCTCTTACCCTTTCTGTTCTTGTTTGCATTTATGTACCTGAAGGATGCAGACAGCATCACAGGAACACACAGAGATGAACAAGAGACAATGAAGGGCAAGTAAAAATAATAACCAAAATAAAACAAGATAATGGGGCAGCATTGTGGCGTAGTCATCCACACTGACTATTTACAGCCAAATAAGTAGTTGGATTCAGCTCCTCGGCTCATGTGGGGAGTCAGTTGGGTTCTGATGAAGCAGACCCGGTTAGAATCCCTTTTCAGAACTGAAACTTACCATCTTTTTTCAGCTTTATCCACAGGATTCCTTGGAAGAGTATTTTATTAAAATCAATACATCTTACAGGGTCAGACCTGCTGAGTCCCGTGATTATTTATTTATTTATTTATTATTTCAATTTATACACCGGCCCTCACTGCCTTCACTGGGCTCAGGGTGGTTGATAACAACAAATAAAAAATAAAACAGTCATTTGTTTGTTTGTTTGCTTGTTTTAACTTGTTAGGCCGCCCCTTCCTGCAAGCAGGGCTCAGGGTGGCTTACATCAAAACCAGCACAATAATAATCTGTTAAATAACATTAAAATGACTAAACATATTAATCAAGCAATACATTACATTGTCTAATGTGACGAAAAATTTCTGTTCCCACCGGCCCCCTGGATAAAGGGGGTGCAGAGGGGTGAGTAGGAGGGTATGAGAGTGCCAACCGTTGCTGTTCTCAAGTGAATGCCGAATGCAAGTTAAAATTAAAGAACATTAGATGGCATCAAAATAAATACAGTATGCATTACAGTCCTGCAAGCGGGAGAAAGCAGAGTGGGGGAGGGAGTGCCAGATAAGGTGGTACCCATCGCTATCCTCAACCAAAAGCTTGGCGGAACGTCTCTGCTTTACATGCCCTGCAGATCTGCATACGGTCCCACAGAGCACGGATGTTATTTGGCAGAGAGTTCCGCCTGGGTCTGGTTGAGGACAGCCGGACGTCTTTAGGGCCAGGGGTCACCAGTAGATTGCTTCCAGTGGAGCACAGGATTCTTTGGGGGGACATGCCATTATTAGAGCACTTTCATGGGCCTTCAGACCATGAGGGTACACTGACTACTTGTATAATACTGGCATTTTATATCATGCGTTTCAAGCTTAATAAACCTTACAACAGCCCTGTAAAAGGACCAGGCTTTAGGTGATCCGAAAGACCACAGCTTGAGAAACTGGAGAGCCACTGCCAGTCTGAGTAGGCAATACTGATTCAGTATTGATGGGCCAGCAGTCTGATTCAGTATAAGGCAGATTCATATATTCAAGATAGGCCACTAATATTTTACCTTCATACAGTAGAGCACTCGAAAGTATAAAATGCAACATAATGATTATAGGTTATAATAGCGAAGATTGTATTCATGTTTATTTTATTCGTTAATTTATTTGTGTTACTTAGAGTCTCCCTTTTCTCACTGAGACTCAAGGACCGATTTCCCACAAGCGCTGCTCCCTGCTCCACGTTCTCTTTGGCCCGATGGTACGTGTCAATTTCACACAAGCTGCTGCGCGGCTGCATTTTGCCTTGAAGCTTCCGTGATTTCCCCCACGTCTACACAATCCTGTTTTTTGAAGATTGAGTAGACGCGGGGGAAATCGAGCGAAGCTCCGGGACAAAATCCGGCAGTGCAGCAGCTTGTGTGAAATTGACACGTACCATGGGGCAAAAGGGAAGAGCGAGTGTGGAACAGCGCTTGTGGGTAATTGGCCAAGGTGTAAGCTCATGCAGTCCATATGATGAGATATTCAATAAGCAGTGTAATAGGATCGGGACACAGAAACTAAAACCAAGTCAAAATCTGGAACAAAACTAAAACAATGCATAAGTACTAACATTGCATATTACGTGATGTAGAAATTACATAACAGGATAATACCCACAGCAACAGATAGCACATAGTATACACAGTAGTATAGTCCACAGTCTTTCCCCCTTTATTGAAGCGTTTGTCCTGAATCATTCCTGTTATAATAAAGCCCTATTGCCTTTGTAAATGTGGCTCTTTGTAGTTAACTGTTGCCTGTTTCTAGCTTCCGGGATGTTTAAAGATGGTGTTTTAAACACTTGCACCGAGGCTATGTGAGGAATTCCTTCCCTTGAGAGAGAACTAAGCTGATTGGTGAAGCCAGACAGTGTGCTGTTATTTGATATTCATTCGTACATCCACGCTTACCACATTGTTGAAAATACCTTTAGCTATTTAAGTTTACATTGAAATATGATTAGTGTTGAGTGATTTACTTATTATGTAAGCAGTATTTCATTTCCCCCTTGATTGCTAGTAAAAACCTATGTCTGGGTTCTGGAGAGCAAACTATTGGCTGCTATAGCCATGTTATGAACTTTTAACAACAGGGGGAGAGTGTGAAAGCCATTGTTCCTGATCAGATTCAGAAACATGTAGCTGACTCTACTCCCACAACCTGGTTCATTGCCCTTTGCTTTTTAATCCTTGCTTTTTTGGCTGGGGGGGGGGTTACTTTGGTTTAACACATCGTTGTTTGTCAAGTAAATGTCTGTGACATAAAAGAAGAACTGCAAGCTGTTGAACTACAAGTTTCAAATTACTTCCCCCACATGCAATAATATGTCTATTGCAACAGTTATCAAAGGAGAAAATATATAACTATAGTAGTGTGTTTCAAGGAACATTTAAACCCATGAAACTGATCAGATTCAGAAACATGTAGCTGACTCTACTCCCACAACCTGGTTCATTGCCCTTTGCTTTTTATCCTTGCTTTTTTTGGCTGGGGGGGGGGTTACTTTGGTTTAACACATCGTTGTTTGTCAAGTAAATGTCTGTGACATAAAAGAAGAACTGCAAGCTGTTTAACTACAAGTTTCAAATTACTTCCCCCACATGCAATAATATGTCTGTTGCAACAGTTATCAAAGGAGAAAATATATAACTGTAGTAGCGTGTTTCAAGGAAAATTTAAACCCATGAAACTAAATATCAGTGTTCTTACAAGCACTGGAATTTAACAGCTTCACCATTTGGAGCTGGCAAACTTCCAACAGTTTGTTTTAACTAAGGTAGCATCTCCTAAACATTGGCATTCAGAATAAAAATAAGAAGAGTAACAATGTAGTAATAATAATCATATTGCAGAATACTCGAGGAGGACTGCTGTTTGTCATGCTTGCTGTAACCAACACTCAAGTACAAGGGGAGAGGCTATGGCTCAGTGGAAGAGTCTCTGCTTAGCAGGCCCGAAGGTCCCAGGTTCAATCCCCAGCATCTCCAGTTAGAAGTACCAGGCAGCAGGTGATGTGAAAGGCATGTGCCTGAGACCCTGGAGAGCTGGTGTCAGTCAGAGTGATAGTGCTGACCGTAATGGACTGATGGTCTGATTCAGTGTAAGGCACCTTCATATATGTGTTACTTTAGGTGGGGCATATCAACAGGTGCAACTGCTAATGGCTAAATGTGATGTTATGTAGGCACTGCATCAGTATTATGTCATCATAGGCAAGATATACAGATGCTTAGAACTGTAACTTTTCTCGTTTCTTCCCTGAGGGTCACCCCTTTTCACATATGTGTCATTAATTAGTTTGGTTCTATTTTTTTTAAAAAAAAATCTGTCTTTTTGCCTTTGAATGCTAATAGAAGTGTTTTGATTAATGAAACTCCTAAAATTTATAAGACTCATGTGCATTGCTGTAACTGATCTTGTGTTGGTCACAAACCATATTAATAAATCTGATTAATGAAACTCAGGGTGAAACTAGACAATACCGCATTTCTGAGTCTGCTGTGGGGATGCAGTGCCATTTTACAGCTTGGATTTATACCTTTCAAGACACTGCATCATGCTGCAAAACAGAGTTCAGGCCACTGGAAGTGGGAATTACTTAGAACCAAACGATGTGTGATGGCATTGTTGAGGCCACCACAAGGACACTGCCACTACTTAAGGGTCTTTTAAGTAGTGCAAGGGCTCAATCTTGATTGAGCTGGCAGTGCAGGGGGCCGAGGCACTCTTGTTCTCCCCCCCCCCGCATTGTCTATTGTCAAAATGGTTGCGCCACCCCCAGGGTCATTTTGGTGCTTGAAAAAGAAGTTCTTGGGAGAGTGCAATTTTACACAGAAAAGCAGCAGGGAAAAAGATTCTCAGTGCAAAATCACCCTTGTCCAAAACTGCTTTCTTTTAAAAAATTCAGCATTGGGTTTTCCGTATATGCATTTGAACATGATATATATTTAGCAAAATGTGAATGTAACAGATGTAGATGTGTGCTTATAAACATGAATCATAGAGGTACAGGCAGCTGGGATTGGCTGCAGTATATGCTTTTTATTAAACCTGGGCTTTCTGCCGTGTGATATGTGATGGGTCCTTTTTCTAAAAAAAAAGGGTTTGCCTTTAAAATTGCCCCCCCCCCCCCTTCTCCTTTGCTGCAGTTGTGGACTGTGGGATTCCACCTTCTTTTCCAAATGCATATATGACCCTTGTCGATGAGTCAACAACCTATGGAAGCAAAGTCGAATATACTTGTCTATCAGGTTATGGCATTGAAAGGGGAAACTGGACTTCAGTTTGTGATTCCAGAGGTTTCTGGGAAGGAGCCAATCTGATGTGCAAAGGTAAAGAAAATACAGATGGCGTGTGTTAATTCTCTTTGAATATGGGGGAAGGGGGTTTGTAAAATCTGTTTGACCAAAGGCATATGTGGGACAAAAGAAACATTAGTGTATAATAAAAAATACAGATGGCGTGTGTTAATTCTCTTATACACATTAGTGTATAATAGCAGAAGCGGTGAAACCTCTATCAGATCTCTTGAAAACAGTCCGTTTTCATCCTCTAATTCACAGTTTATTTGAACTGTTCCCCCTCCAATCCAGGAGACACATGAAACAGCCCTGTACATGTCCTGTTCTGGAGACGCGTTCGGCTTTCCCCATCCGTACGCTCAGTTCTGATGGCCCCGGCAGCCCCCAAGCCTCATTCACAGCTGAAGAGGCCTGCATCCATGGTTCCATCCTCGGCTCTGATGCACCCAGTCACTCCCTTTGCACTCGGTTCCAGCTCCCATCTCATTGGAATCCCCACGAGAAAAAGCAAGCACAAGGAGAAGCCGTTCTCTTCATCTGGGCATCACAGAAAACCGTTGTTGTGTTCAGGGCAGGACCTGGCACTTTTACTCTACCCGGGGTTTATGGGATGCGCAAATACCACAGTAACAAGTAAGACAGAATGCAAGAGCACGATCTACTAACCAGTCTGGAGTTAGGGAGCCAAAGATTCAGTCCAAAGGTCAGGGATGCGGGACCTGACTCCTCAGATTCGTCCTCCAAAGAAGAGGTGACAACTGGCCCATGACAACTGTCATCACCCCCTAGATCTCCTTTGGGGATCCAGTGTCCTTTTGGTCCCTTCTCACACACCATCCCTGCATTTGTCCTTCCCAGCTTTGCAGATGTTGGAAAGTGAAGGGGAAAGAGCCAGCCCCCCATGTGAGGATCCACTGTCTATCAGGTCAGAACCGGCGAGATCCACTCCCAAGAATGCAGTCATGCCCTCCACAGCAGCATCCATACTATATGTCTCCAGCCTATTTATGACAGTGACCTAATTGTTACTCTCAGCATCCTCACCCTGGTCGACCAAGTTATTGGAGAATTTTTGTTGCCAGCGGTCTCAATGTCATATGGTGCCCTCAGCATCTCCAGAGTCTAAACCTGAAAAAGAAGGGGCTGTTGTTTCACACTTGAGTTCGGGGAGTCAAGCAGAAACCTCCCCAGATGAAAGGATGGGGGACTCCTGTCTCTCCTAATGAGGATTTATATCTCTTCAGCAAACAATTGCTAAGAATGGCCAAGGTGCTGGATATAGATGTTGCCATTTCTGACAACAAGCTGAAAGACAAAATCTTGAGCTGTCTCTACCTATTCTGCAGGCATCATAGCCGTTCCTGTCCTAGAAGGCTGGCAGATCTTATGTCTCAGGTGTGGCAGAAGTCTGCATCCATTTTGGAAAATTTGCGAAGGTTGAAATGTTCTACAGGATTACGCATGCGAGTTTCTGCTTGTTGGGTCTGCTCCAGTTCAGTGGGTTGGATGCAGACCAGCTGGACCAAGTCTCAGTAGGCAAGAGAAAAAGACAGAAGCTTGCACTACTTTATTGAACCTTAATAGAATAAAAGGAAATCTCAGAGCATTCACCAAAAGGGCAGTGTATGCCGTTACCCAGTTAAGAAAGAGATATCTCTTGTCTGCCAGCTCAAGTCTCCAAAGAGCAGTCTAATTGGCAGCCCTGTTCTACGAAAAACCAACAATATTTATACCATTTTGCAAGACGTCCTGTAGGACTGTAATGAGTGCACCAATAGCCAGACCCTCCCCCGTCATGGAACCATAAAACCATAAACTTTGCCCCCCCCAATGGGTTATCCGGTTATCCATCAGGTCAAAGCCTCTGGTCAGAGCAGGAAAGATATATAACAATGATCTTTAGATATTCAACCTTGAGGCTGGTACATTTGGTTCAAGGAATGTAAACTATGTGTAGGTCAGAGTTCAACAGCAACGGTGCAGGGCACTCAGGCAGCAAGCATCGAGCTTTAATGCAAAGAAGTATGGGATAGAACCAAAGAATATCTTTTTCTCTTATTCCAAATGGACAGTAAATGAATACATGAATTGCCTAGTCTCCCTTAAAGTAAATTCCGCCACACTAGTCAACCATCCTCCACCTTCCTCCCTTGTCACCATGGAGATGCAGACATGTCAGAGGCGGGTGCATCACTTGTCCCCATCAGACAAGGAGAGCAGATGTCTAGACTCTCTAGGACAGAAACTATATTATCAGCAGCCTTAAATTTCGAAATCTCAAATTACCAAGTCATCATGGGTAAGTCATCGTGGCAGATCAACTATTCCTGTGGAAGAACTTGTCCCAACATCTAGAAAAGCTTCCGAATGAGTCCAAGTCATTAGTCAAGCTTATCCAGGCAGAAGCCATGAAGCTTTCCAAACAGGAGATAAATGCGAGTAAACATTCCACAGACTCATAAGCAAGGTTGATAGCATCGGCCATTGTGCTAAGACAACACTCTTGGTTGCGTACAGCTGTACTTCCTCCAGACACGCGCTGCAGAGTGGAGGACTTGCCCTTTGAGGTTTCAAGCCTGTTCTCGCAAGATACTGATAAGTTCCTCTGCACTATTAAGAAGATTAAGCAGGTGGCCAGATCCTTGGGCATGTTCTCTTTGTTAATTTGGCAGCAGCGCTTCACCCCGTGTCAACAAGGGTTCGCTACACCCTTCTATCGTGGCCAGTGACAGTGGTATCAGAGTGCCCCCCAGTACCAGCTGCCTCCTTTTCAGAAGAGGAAAAGCTTTTCTTAAGAACATAAGAATGTTGGATCAGGCCAAAGGCCCATCCAGTCCAACACTCTGTATCACACAGTGGCCAGAAATACCAGTGCCATCAGGAGGTCCACCAGTGGGGCCAGGACATTAGAAGCCCTCCCACTTAACCTAGGTTGGGAAGCCACCAGGTTCCTCATAAGGACCAGAGTCAGCAGCAACAGAAATTCTGACCAGAGGTCCAGCCCCAGTTGGAGGTCCCCTTTTTTAGGGATAGGCTTGCCTGTTCTTGTGCAGAGTGGCAGCATATTTGTTCTGATGACTGGGTTTCAGCCATAGTTTGTAGTGAGTTTTTAAAAGAGTTTGTTTCGTTGCCCTCTTGTTCCCCTGCTATACCAGCAGTAGACAATCCATTCCCCGAGCTCCAGATACAGCTACGGGAACTGTTACAGAAAGGCACAGTTGAAAAAGTTCCCTCTGGCCTTCCATCTTGAGGGTTTTACTCCAGATTTTCCTTGTTGACAAAAAAGATGGGGGCCGGAGGCCCATCCTTGATTTGAGGAAATTAAATAAGTTTCTGAAAGTTTCAAAGCTCTTTCATCACTTGTGGAGTTTCTTACTCTGGGCTCTTGGTTTGGGGTGATAGATCTTAAAGAAGCCTATTTCCACATCACCAGTCATCTCACCCATAGGAAGTACCTCCACTTCAGGCATGGCTCTGAGGTCTTCCACTATTCCTCTCTCCTCTTTGGCCTGGCCACAGAACCTATGGTTTTTACCAAATACATAGCAGCGGTAGTAGCACATTTAAGAACTAAAAAGTGAGCCCATTTTTCCCTACTTGGATGACTGGCTCATTGTAGCTCCCTCCAGGGAACATTTGAGTGCAGATGTACTTGGTGACCTGCCAAAGGCTAGGGTTAGTAATCAATAGGGGAAAATCCTGGTTGGAGCCCTCAAGTTTAGTTGAAGATTCTTCTTTGTTTGCCCACAAGGGCCTAATTAATGTCTCCCCTCCCCCCCTGGTTCCTAATATATTTCTGCAATGGTCTCTCTCTCTGGTCTTGGCAAGTCTCATGGATGCCCCCTTCAAGCCTTTGGCCTCTTGCTCACTGGCATTGCTGTCCAGGAAGGTGGCATTTCTGATAGCAGTCACGTCTGTTAGGATGAGCAAATTGGTGACCCGTAGAGTAGACCTTCCTTTCCTGAAGAACTTCAGTGAGAGGTTCATGTTGTACCCTAGTTTGGAGATTTTGCCCAAGGTGGTGTCCAAGTTCCACCTTGCTCAGTAGGTCGTTTTGCCTGTCTTTTTCCTATCTCCTACTTCCAAGGCTGAAAAAGCATTACATTCCTTAGGCAGTAGGAGGGTCTTGTTATATTACCTTGACAGAACAAGACCTTTCCGAGTAGACAAGAGTCTGTTTGTCTGTTACGCAGGTACTAAGAAGGGCACGACAGATTCTTCTCAGTCCATAGCTAGGTGAGTTGTGGCAGCCATTAGGTCCTGTTACGAGGCCTCTAGCAAGCCCTGTCCACTTGATGTTAAGGCTCACTCCACGAGGGCGCAAGGGTCCCTGGCAGCTTTCCATCACAGAGTGCCCATCATGGACATCTGTAAGGTTGTGACATGGTTGGCTGAGGACACATTTGTCAAGCACTGCATGTTGGACCTGCAATCAAGGAAGGGATGCAGAAGTCAGCAAAGCTGTCCTGCAATCATCATTTCAGTGAGAGCATCACCCCTCTTCCCTCTTAGTTAGTGGCTTGCTAAAATCTCAGTGTGGGGCCACACTGAAGACAGAAGATGAAAACAAAATTGCACTTACCTGTAACTGGTGTTTATCAATGTCTTCTTTGCAGACACACATTCTCTCCCTCCTGCTGCACTGTGAGCTCTCCTGTTCTTTTCCGTTCTTTTGGGAGTTTCACAGATTTGCAGGAACTGTCAGTGAGGGGCACACTCCCCCCTTGGAGCATGTGAGGTTTGGGTGCGAAAAGGCTGTTGTGTTGGCTCCGGGGGGGCGGGCTCCCCCTTTGATCATATTAAGCTAGGGCAAAACATCTATCCAGGGCAGGCCTGTGCAAGCGGAGTCCCAATGTTGTCTGCACGGAAGACATCAATAAACATAGGTTACAGGTAAGTGCAACTTTGTTTTCTCAAATTTGGTTGGGGGGGGCAAAACAATGTCCTTAGCTCCATATTTATTTAAAGTCCACTTTTCGCACTGAGACTCAGAGTGGGTCACACAGTGCAAGTCAATGCAGTCAACAGGATAATACGGAGATGTGCTGTTTTATCACCACAAGAAAGTACAGTAGGGTGCTTTGAAGCTGTAGTGATTGTTATGTACAGAGTTAAATATTTGATGTGTTCACAAGGAAGGGGGTGTCCTTTTTGTTTTCAAAGAACCAACTCTTCTATGTCTATGAATTATATCACCCTCCCAATAAGGGTCGTTTGGCCACACTAAACTCTGTGCACTGCAAGTCATGTCCAAAGTGGAACACTGAACCGGTTACAGAACTCTCTCTGCAGTAGTTTTGCTTCTAGTTTATTGATTCCAGTAGCACAATGCACAATCTCTCATGTAGTTCATGGGTTATTCAGCTATGCTACAAATTCCTGCTATTTGTGGTATCGTGCCTCTGTCTAGTCATCCATGGTAAAACATTAAAGGTCAGTTCTTACATCTTCCATTTATTTTATGGATAACTATTGTAATGGAGAAGTCCTACATGCATACATCATGTTTATATTGGTTTGCTTTCTACTGCTCTGTTCTGCCTTCTTGCATTCAAGAGGTTCTTCTGTCAGCGGAAGAGTATTTTGCACTAAAGGAAGGTTAATTTGGCTGGAGGAATGTTATTGTGGAAATAAATCCGATCTAGATTATCTGAAATCCTATTTGGTGGATCTGAACAAACTTTAATTTCAGCATTTGAAAGGCAGCTGTGGCCTTAAAATGTAGGAATTGAATATGTGAAGGGACTTGATGAGAGTTATTTTATCTCCTTATTAAAATGGGTGGTGTAACTTTGCTCATTAACATTGGTGTCTTTCTTTCTCTCTTCCCCTAGAAATAGATTGTGGAAAACCATTGCAGCTTCCGAATACAGACATTGTTTGGGATAACACCACAGCTTTGGGCAGCACAGTATACTATAAATGCAAGAAAGGATTTCAGCCTATTGGAGAACGTGATTTTTCACAATGTATAATAACTAAAAAGTGGGAAAACATTACTTTTGAATGCAAAGGTAAATATATTATTTTTAAATCTTCCATTTAAATATTTATTATTTATGAATGAGATGATGATGATGATTTTTTGGTTTATTACTCGCCCCATCTCAGCTTGTACAAGGCTCTGGGCAATGTGCAAGAGAGACAGAAAGCCATAAAATGAATATACAAAACATTAAGAATTCAAAATAACAAAACTAGAATAACAAATATTTAAAAAGGATCCCCACTGAATATAGACTTTGTAGATGCGGCTCAGGAGAGACAGAAACTATTGAGCACATGATGCTCAGATGTAACTGGTATAACAAGATCCGTGACAAATATATTACTCCTCTTATAACAGATATGGTGGGACAATCAGGTGCTGAGCAATGTAACCGATTGTTAATTGATGGGAACCGGACAATTACCGAAACTGTGGCAAAATTTTGGGTAGCAAGCTACTGCATCCTAAATACACAATCAAATGTATAATAATAGTTGCCTAATAGTCTCTGTTTTATGTTCTTCTTTTACTTATTACGCTCAACTGTATTTTTATACAATTTTGTTTTATTGTCCTAAATTCAATTATATGAATGTTATATTTAAGCATGTGTGTTCTATGGCTTGTTGCCGTAATAAATGACTGACTGACTGACTATTTAAAAAGCAGATTAAAAGAAGGTCCCAGATGGCGTCCTTAAAAATTTCATCCTAGTTCTTGCCACTTTCTGGGCAGGGGGAGGTTGAACACAAGATCAAGATTAAGGGGAGGGGGAGAGGAAGAGGGTGCCAGTGACAATAGAACATCGTTGCTGTCCTCAACCAAAAGCCTGGTGAAACATCTCTGCCTTGCAGACCCTGATGGTATTAGATAGAGAGTGCCACCAGGTTGGGGCCAGGACCGAAAAGGCCCTGGCCGAGCACAGCCGGACATCTTTGGGGCCTGGGATCACCAGCGGGTTGTTATCTGCAGAGTGTAAAGCTCTCTTGAGGACATTCCAGAGGAGACAGTCATAGCCTGTGAATGATGTTTCTTTCCTGGGACCTCCTACATGCAAAGCAGATGCTCTACCACTGAATCACAGCCATGCATGTTCATATGCATGGCCTTCACGTTTGAGGAGACGTTCATTATTTTGTACTTGGGTATCTGCGTCAGCTGCTTGGGTTTTAAAGGACTGTTCTGAAATGTATACACACCTGGCTTTGCATTTTACAAGAACCTGTTCTGTGAACTTTAATTTCCATATGCAAATACAAAATGTAAACTGAGAATTCTTTCCCAGGGATGTAGTTTAACCTTCCAAACACAGAATCTCTAGCGCTACTGAAGATCACCAAAACACTGTTTTTGTCATTAGTGACAGGTCATGCAACTGGCCCTCAGAATGGTTGGCTGCCTTATCCAATTTATCCCAATTTGGAGTCCTTTCCTTTCATGTATATAAGAACTGACTGCACCGGCTGGGTCACACTAGCACTTTACCACAGGACGCTGCCGTACTTATTTAGTTTTACTGTATTTATTGTATTTTATATCTGTATTTGCTGGTTTTATATTGTACAAGTGGAGACCCGCAAGAAACTTGCGGGATGGTTATCCTATTCCTCACGCCTTTGCTTCCTCCTGTCTCCCCCTACCTCTCTCACACTCTT